ATAGGGATTTGGAACCTTTGAGACATAGAGCCTCCTTGAATGAGGTAGGCTGCTAGAGTAGCAGGTTTCAAGGCTATCCCATCTCTGCTCTGCTGGAGCTCTCTGTTTCCGGACTGCCATGGGATGTATCCATGGATATATATGGATACGCATCCATATACATGCGTGCACATATACTCACACAAGCCCAAACACACATAAATAGATGTCTTTAGAAGACAACAAAATCCCTCAGGGTGCTGGAGGTAGAAAGGCATGTTCAGAATAACGTTCATTCACCAGGAAGCTAATGAGGCTTGGCCTTCAGCATCTTTTAGGACAGTCTCTCGCTGTATCTTTCATATGGTCATACACTTATCTGTAATGTCAGACATTCTATACCATTTTTTTTAAGTGCCTGAGTCTGCTTAACCATCAGATCCTAGAAATCGGAGGCTCGAAGGCCCTCGGAGGCAACTTGGCAACTGTTAAGGAAGGGGCCAGTTTCTATGTGTCCCACATATTCCAACACACTGTTCAAGAAGCAGCCAAGGTACGAAAGAGTCAAGAGTCCTTTGAGACTAAAGAAAGCAGAGGTGTAATGAAATATCCGAACAAAGAACAACTTCTGGCTAGAACTGGTGGTCTGGAACCCCAGACATCAGGAGTACCGGTCATCAAAGTCTCTAAGAGCATAAAAAGGGACCAGGTGTACATTAATACCTCCCGGGATAGCAGTAGCCCTTCAGCCTTCTACCAACTCTCACAGAGACTCACAGGTGGGAAGAACAAAGATGCATGACACCAAGATCATTCTTAAACAACAGCTTCTACATTAACCCAGACAGCATCTTGGGGAAGATGATATGATGGATGACCCCATTTGGCCCATTGGGTAAGTGGACATTATACTGACCGCTATCAAAGATGAAGTTAACCCAAGACTGGGAAACTACCTACCACTGAAAGCATTTAAGTTTCAATGGAAATGGGTTTTAAACCAAATTAAAATACTTTATTTTAAAAACAAAGGTGTGTTTGAAATTGTGATTCTCTTCATTTGAAACATTATGAATCAGGAAAAAAATGTTGTTTTTTTTTTTTTTTTTTTTAAATCCTCCAACTAAACAGACTCTCTCCAGGATTCTGTGGGAATTTTTGGCATATTCCAATTATAGAATAAAACCTGTGTGCGATGAAACTGTGTTTGTCAGGAAAGCAGCAGTACCGTTTACATTTATCCTGCATATGCTGAGGTGGAGACTGCTAGGTGTTCATGAAAACTTTGCTTGCTCTTCTTTGTCCTCTAGGCAACTGAGGTGGCCCCATAAAGGAGGCTCACACAGCGGGATATAAGTGGAGGTGTGTGGAACAGGTGAGACACAACCATGGGTTCCTATACCCGTGCATTATGCTGTTTCTCCATCTCACTGCTCATGTGGACAGGGGCTCCTCCAGCTTGGCTACTGATAGGGGATGTCCTTCTGTATATATGTTTTTTTTTATTGGTTGATAAATAAAACACTGTTTGGCCAATAGCCAAGAGAGGCAGGAAGATAGATGGGAGTAGGATGCAAGAAGAATTCTGGGAAAGGTAAGCAGAGAGGCGCCGGAAAAAGATGCCATGTAGGCTGCCAAAGGAGTAACAGGTCCAGGCATTCTCCGGTAAGATAAGACCATGTGGAAATACATAGATTAGTAGTTATGGGTTAATAATTAAGACAGAGCTAGCCAATAAGAAGCCCTAGCCATCAGCCAACAGTTTTATAATTAATATAGCATCCGTGTGTTTATTTGGGGCTGAAGCAGCAGCGCGACTAGGCAGGAAAGAAAACTCCACTGACAGGCTGCCTGAAGAATGCCATGGAGAACAAGGGCTCTCACCCAGAAACTGTCCGTCACCTTGGGCTTTTTAAATCTGAGAAGTAACTCTGATTTACGTTTTGGGCCTAGAACCTGTATCTACACTCTACCGTATAGTCTGTTTCACTGTGGCAGCCAGTGGTATGTAATAGCTGCATACACAAGTGTTAAATTCTAGACCCAGCTTTACCAACCAGCCGGGCAGGAAATCAGACAATGATGGAGGATGCTGGGAAGCTGGGGTGGTGCTGGGATGGAGGGCAAGCAAAAGAATGCAAAAGCACACTGGGATGTGCGTTTAGTATTTACCTTCTGAAGTAACCAATGAATTGAGCCTTGAAGGATGAGGAAAGTTCAGGGGAGGAGGGCTGGGAAGCTCGTGCCAGACTAAACCTGAGTTCTCTAACATTTTATCCATGCAGCTGTGATGTGAAGACAGAAAACACATTGTTCTGTTCTTTCCAGGGCATAGAATCAAGGCCAGGGAGGAACTAGAGGGAAAGAGAATTCTGTCCAAAGGGAGGAAGAACCAATCATCAAGGCTGACCTTGAACTTCAGGGGCACTGAAGACAACGGAAGACGGTGTGCTGCCTTTGGGGGACAGCCAGCGTCTTGGCATGGGCACGAGGGAGTGTGGGCTGAGCATGGATTGTCACAGCTTCACACAGCCGCCTTCCAACTCTGGGATTCTATGCATCTTCCAGGCCTTAGTCGAGTAGTCTTTATACAGTGTTGCCAGCAAAGGGAAGGGCTTCAGCTTTGCTGGTGCATAGCTTACTCGGTAGTACTTGCCAGTCTCCGTCTCAAGGCTACGCTGGCTGTACCCCACATGCCAATCGCCAGCAACCCAGAACATCTCTACACACCCAGGCCCCTAAATTTCATTTGATAACAGCAAATACTTACTAGCCTTATATTAAAGAGGATTGCTCCTGGGGTCAGTAACATCAAAGGACAGTTAAATGTCCACTTTTTTTTTTCCAGGTGCTTAGGTCAAGGGGTTAGGTATTTTTACTTAATAGCAAGTAGACCATACAGAATATGAAATACGTTTTCCAAAAGACTGCCAATAAGGTACATTCCACTAAAGCTGTATAGGAACAGGTTCATTCCTCTTGGATGACCTGACACACTGCCAGGCACCTTAGGAATCAAAGCCATAAATATCAGTTCCCATAGAGGAATTAGTTCTTTAGAACAGACTTGTTTTCGGTTCTGAAATGTACCTATGGTGGATAAAACAGGAGACCTACTGCACACACTCTAAGATGCTCTCCAAACACTACAGGGAAACCAGTTACTTTCACTTTTTTAAAGACTATAGTTCATTTCCACAAGCACTCACTAGGTCGCTTTACACGTGGAGTACTCAGGGATAGAGTAAATGACAAGGTGCTATCCTAACACAAAGGCTTCCCAAGATTCATGCTGTCACTCTTCTTAAGAGTAACTCGCTGGGC